GGTCTTGAACTCTTGACCTCAGGTGATCCATCTGCCTTGGCCTCCTAAAGTGCTGGGATTACAGGCATGAGCCACCGTGCCAGGACTCCAATTTTTAAAAGTTCACTGAAAGTAAGAATTCTTACATTCAGAAGTAACTGCATTGGCAATTATTTAAAGATTTCAAATTATAAATATCTTTTTAAAGACAATAGACAATGATTCTATTTAGTTATTTGTTGGAATGTATAAAATTCAATTTTATAGATTTGAAGACTTAAAAAATGACTTTTTATTGCATTTTAGGTTTTGGGGTACATGTGAAGAACATGCAAGATTGTTGCATAGGTACACACGTGGCAGTGTGATTTGCTGCCTTCCTCCCCGATTTTTTAAAAGTTTCTGATTCAGAATAAGCCTCTGTAATGCATATAGAAGTAATATTTTTTTGGAAGTCATGCAGTCAATCTTCACAGGAAGCTTAACCTCAGAGTTTTCCCTGTACTCACAAAGTGATGAAAAAGTTTAATAATTGAAACTATTTAGCCTTATGAATCACTTTTTATAAAATCAGTAGTTGCCTGAATGCAAATAGTTTTGATAATTGCCTCTATCCTCTATATCCCTCCCCATCCAAAAAAATCCGAACTCACAAACACAAAAACTTAAAACAAAACACTCGTAATCTGGATGCAGACTGAAATGTTAAAAATATTGAGTTGTATCTCCTAAGTGATGAACTACTAGTCAATGTTCTCTTCTAGGTAATGGAACCTCACAAAATATATTCTGTACAGAATTGAATGAAGAATGTTTTTCCTAAGATACTTAAAAATATGGCTAACTTTTCCATTTATTAAAAAGATAGATAACAATGTGTATTATGCCAATATGTTTAAAAAATTACAATATAATTTTTGTCTGTGCTGAAACCTTAAAAGTAATGGTTTATTTTCAATACAATTTCCGCATAAATTGGTCTCACTATAGGTCTACAGGCTTCCTCTTATCAGAGCCTCTTTCAACATTTATCTCCTAAAATAGACAACATAAAATACCGAAATACTATAAAATCATCAAACCTATCCAATATTATTTAGTATACTAAAACAATTTACACAGTATATTTATCTACTAAGGACTTGATCTATATTAATATTCACAGAAAAAGATATAACAAGTGTAGAAATTTTGATGTCATTATTTTGAAATTTAAATTATAGAAATTGTTAAAAATGAGTTACAATTACCCATTATCTAAAATACTGACAAGAAACAGTATTGTTTTATTGATCAAATGCTATACAATTGGATGAGCCAATGAACTATACTCTTGGAAATGCTTAAAGTTTTCATAAGCCAGATCCTCTGAAATATTTTACTAACACCAAAATGGCAAATACAAATACTTCATTAAAATTTGAATGCTCTTTATAGTTCTATAAGATTGGAATACTCAATCGAATCCTTAACTAAAAGGTAAGCATTTCTGCTCTAGCAGAATGACAACTTTAAAAAGATACACACATTAATATTTATTCTAGTATATCTATTGATCTATTGTCTACAAAGCATTTTTTATAAAATGGAGAGTTTACATCTATTTCTAACAACAGAAATAGATGACTATATGTTATCCTAAAACAGTTTCAAATGCATGTGCCTAAAGTCACAATTTAAGAAAAATATATGTATTTTTAGATATCAACTTTAATCATAATGCATAAATGACATTAGAGAAGACTGAGGAAGCACTGTGGTTCAGAAAAGTCTATATTCCTTCATTGATACAGGCAAAGAAACTGATTATCTCCATCAAATAATCTTTTGATCATCAACCATCTGAACACGATTTCACTTAATTTGCACTTTCATTTGATACTGAGTTAAAGCAAATCCTCCAAACTGGTCCTTTGTTTTGGTCCTTTGTTTTGTACTGAGTTAAAGCAAATGCAAACTTGTCCTTTCAATATAGCAGTGGCTAAATTAATGAAATTTGGGTGGGGGGAGAAGTGTTGTTTTTCATACAAATTCTTTAATAATTTCATAGAGGTAAACATACTTAAATGCTAAATACCTGACCTTTTTGAATAAATGCAGACCTACCTTGATTTCCACAACAAGCCTCTATTCATTTCAATGAGACAATGTTTTCACAAAATGTAAGGTAAAACAGGTGTTAAATTACTTAAGAGAACTCATAATTTAAATAATTAAAACTAATTTGTGTTTAAAGCTATTTGCAGATTTATTAGAGAAACAAATACAAATATGCATTTCTACAGAACTGTTTTTTTTTTTCCAAAATGAGCTTAAAACGTGTTCCACAGTTTTTACTTGTTTATATATCTATGGTAACCCAAGTATTGGCTTCTGTACCACTTTGTAATGAGACAATTGCCTTTCCATTGCAATTATAAAAAACTATTTAAAAAAAATTCGGCACATACACGTTAAATATTTTTCTTTAAAAAAATAATCTAATCAAAATATTGAATACTTTAGATTTAAACAATATTTTATTTACAAATCTGATTTGATGTACTTTATTAATTATACAAGGTAATGCTTCAATTTTCAAGAACAGATTCTTTGTTTATATAGACCAGTGGAATGACATCCTATCTAGTACTACACTTCAATAGTTTTCAAAATTAACATGACAAGTTCTCTAATACTTTCATTTTTTGAAAAAATGTTATTTAATTGGGGCACATTATCTGATGAAACAAAAAATAACATGCAGATTTCCAAAGATAATCTTTTAAAGTAATATGATACTTACCCTTTATGTAAAAAGACATCTATGAACAACAGTGCATAACAGTATTATGTATTCATGTTTATGAAAAACCAAGCAAAAGGCAAAATGAGTTCATCCTGTTTTCTAATCATTTGCAATTTTATATGGCTGTTTGCCTCAGTTAAATGTGTACATTAAATTTATAAGACTGTATTGCACTCAAAATTATTATGTATAGCCATGCTTTCCCTGTATTTAATGAGTGATGAATATTTCTCCTACTAACAGAGTAACTAGTCTCAAATAGTGCCTGTGATGTAAAGAGTATTAAATTATATTTTCATCTCTCAATTGCG